ATGTAACAATTGTAAATAGAAATTCTTTCAGGAGGAAGAGCCTTTAATCATGGAAAATGATTCCACATCTGCAGGAAAAACGCAAAATTTACTCCCAAGCAGATTCAGCACGCCATCTCTTATCCAAAGCAAGGGTCAGGTTTATTCAACAAACATTTGTGAGGTTAACATAGGGGAGTGTGCTGTGCAAAAAAAAAATCCGTTGCGAAGTGTCTGTTAACCGGGGTACCCTTGTAAGGCTCATAAAGACGGGGAAGAGTGCGGAATTGCTTCTTATGACGTTGTCTGGTCGATTTTGAATGGCTATTATGCATGAGTCATTCTGAATATAGTTCCCGTCGGTTTTATACCTATATACGAATACTCTTAGTAAAAAGGGTGGACGAGAATCATTTTCAGCCTCGGAGGGACACTGCTTGCTTTCAATTTCTGCATTTGTCTTTTTTACCTGAAATTATTTTGGGCAAAATATGAGCACATTGTGTTGAAGAAGAAAGTACAGTACTCGAGTCTCTATGGAAGACGATTCATCTAAAAAAAAATATATATACTGTAATTCAGTTGTCTAGGTAATAAAAGCGTGAACAATCATTAGAATAATGTATATACAGTAATGTCCCCGGACACGCAAAAATAATCGTACTGTAATTCAAAGACCTTTTGGTCAGAATAACAAATGATTCTAAAAATATTTCCCGCAAAAAAAAAATGAAAATTTGTGAAGGTGGAGAAAGTAAATCACATCACTGCCGTATTCGCCACGAGCTAAAAAGATTCGTTTTGCAGACTATGGCGCAAAAATTGACGCGGAAATTCATGCATCTTTTCGCAGAATTTTTAGAAAGTTTTTAGTTTGATTTAAAATGATTCCGAGTGTGGATTTAAAATATTTCCGAAAGCTTTGCAAATTTGAACCCTTTCATCACCAGATTTTTCGCAAGTTTAACCTTTGAGTAAATTGTATTTTGCACCTTCAAGTGACCATTTTTTCAAGCTGAAACTAACTAATTCCAGAAATAATTTAGGGATTGGCGAGGAATAAAATATTATGAGTCCTGCAATCCCATTCACATTTCGTAAGATGACGCGTTCTTTGCGTGTTGGCTTTCAAATGCTTTTTCCCCAAAATTCCTTGGTCTTTCATTGCCAAAAAAAAACCTGCCATCATATATCAATTTCCCGTTTCGTTCTTGAAAAGAATGGGTCATTTTTTGCAAAGGTTCCCTATAGTATACCTCATCATTGTAATTTTGCTTTCGTAAAAAAATAAAGAAAAACTTGGGGTTCGTCCGGTGAATAATCGTCGTTAATCACGGAAATGTTCCTTCTATAGAAGGTGGAAAAGGAATTTCACGATTCAGAGTGTTTCTCATTTTTTATGCTTAATTTTTTTCCGGATGCTTCCATATTTGACTGAGAATTTTTTCGAAGCAGAAATTAATCGACTATATTTTTTCAACTGTATAAAGGAATATTTTAATTTCCAAAGACAAATGGTGAACTTCACGAAAACCCTTTGTATGCATGCTGAACTACTGTCCAACTGGTTTTCTGTCCAAGGGTTCGCGAAAATTCTCTTCTAGACAGGATTTTCAGCAAAGGCAAACGAGTTTTTGCGTTGACACGCGATCCGACGATTTCTTCTCATTTTCATTCCTCCTTGGGACTACTTGTCATCAATTTTTTTTTCTAAAAAAAAAAAAAACGCTGTTGTTCCTCATGAATAAACAAAAAGCTCGAAAAGCTAGATCCTTCGAGGCAATGTTTCGTATATTTTACCGAAAAAGGACAATCGAGCTTTACCGAACGCAAAACAAAAAAATAGAGTATATTAGGAAGAAACTGCTCAACAAAAAAGGGAGAGAACGTTTGATAAAAAGTGCGTTGGTCATTTATTCAAGAATAGCTTACATAACTTACATTGTTTCCACTTATTCCATTCTTTTATGGCATCTGACGCAATTTAGAATTGCATCAGAGCATGCTGAGTTAAGATATTCAATTTGTAATTTTTTCATTTCCATGCCACCACAAATTTGAGATTTTTCCAAACACAGATTCACTTCAGTTTGACCAAAGGTAACCAAAATATCTCTGGGTTGCAAATGCCAGAGTTAAAAAAAATCTGGGAAGAGGAGATCGTTTTTTCCGTAAATGTACAATGTTAATCCTATGCTAGGAATGCAGGAAAAATTTCACCAGGCAAGGCATTTTTTATTTTTCATTTTCAGTCAAGATTTTCTGCTGCAAAATTGGAAATTTTCCTGACTTAGGCCTTCGCTCAAAAAGTAGGTGTTTATTTTCAGTGCTCATGAGCACCAAAATTTGGCACAAACATTGCTGTTGGTCAAATCAAAGCTCATAAAGAATGAAGATTGCTCAAGTAAATGAATGAGAACTCATCACAATTAGCCCAGGATCAGGGCAAGGGATTCGCCATGGAAATCCCAAAATGCAATAGCAAATGTATTTTACCTTAGAATTCAGTAAGCTCAGTCATTTCAGTGTTCAATCACAAAGAAAAAAGATTCATTCAGAACCAAATGCAATGAACAGCTAAGAAAGACTACTATGTTACAATTGTAAATAGAAATTCTTTCAGGCGGAGGAAGAGCCTTTCATCTTGGAAAATGATTCCACATCTGCAGGAAAAACGCAAAATTTACTCCCGAGCAGATTCAGCACGCCATCTCTTATCCAAAGCAAGGGTCAGGTTCATTCAACAAAAATCCGTGAGGTTAACATAGGGGAGTGCGTTGTGCAAAAAACAAAAAAAAATCCGTTGCGAAGTGTCTGTTAACCGGGGTACCCTTGTAAGGCTCATGAAGACGGGGAAGAGTGCGGAATTGCTTCTTATGACGTTGTCTGGTCGATTTTGAATGGCTATTATGCATGAGTCATTCTGAATATAGTTCCCGTCGGTTTTATACCTATATACGAATACTCTTAGTATAATATCGAGGCTCTTATTCTCGTCCCTTTGAAGTTAAGCGAACTGCATTTAACAAACGAATAAAATAAAAGAATTTATATTTTAATAATTCACCAAGTTTGATGGGTGTATACAACGGGATCCCCCAAAAAAATCATCATTTATAACCGGGGAAAAAATATGCGTTTTGAAGGACAATAATTAAATCCCCAAGAAACTGATTTAATATCTGTCCAGGCGTTTTATTTCAGGTCACCAAAAATACTTTTTCTGGCGACGATGGGTGAATAAATTTGAAGGCACTCCAGAATTCACACATAGCCTGTATATGTTTCTGGTTTATTGGGTGGGGTTCAAAATCCGGAGTTTCCCTGTCACGCCCTTTTCTCATTTCTATTTTTTTCTGACCGAAAAAATGTCGCATATAATTTCACGATACCCGTGACATGATGATGAAGAATATCAAGTTTGAATCCAAGCCCTGTTTTTTTTGAAAGTCTAAGCGAGCCTTTCAGCTGGAAAATTTGCATATTATGTGGGGAGAAAAAGGAATGTTTTCAAAACTTTGTGGAAATTCACCAGAATATATGGCATTACAGTGTAGTGCCCCAACATATATGGAAGATTCGACTTAAGGACACAATTAAAATAATCTGCCTCGGCATTCGGACCATCTCTTGAGACATGAATAATATTTCAAGACAAGTGAAAAAATTGTAAAGATCAAAATTTTAAATCTTTTTTGATGCATTCACGAAAATTTAAAAGAAGTGCTATATCATAAAGTCACAATAATTTATAATCAACGCAGGATAACTTTTTGCTTCTCTTTTTAGAGCTTTTTCCGTCATCTGAAGACAGTGTAAGAATAGTTCTGCTTGTTATTCCTTTTTTTTTTTTGGTTCCTTATCATTCCGAAAAATCAGCTTCGTGATATTTTCCACTGCGAATTTATTTCCCGTTTCTTGAGTAAGTTGAATTTTAATTTCAGGGGACGTTTTCCTAATTTTTGATCAAAAATTTGACAGAACCAATCAAATATATACTTCCATTGATATTTAATGGAGAAAGTGATCCGACATGCGGACATTTCGGCATAGAATGACGTCTGAACACCAATTACGTCTGCATCTCGGGGCCCCAATGAATAAATCTTGATGTAAAAAAAATGTTTTTGAATCGGTGAGTCAAGTCATTTTCTACTATATACACAGTTGACCAACACGAATTTCCCGAAGCTTGAAGAGACTGAAATTATCCAGAAACCAAAGCATGAATGACATAATGGACTCATTTTTGTGTCGTGTTTTTGACGCGCGATCAGCGAGCGAAAAGCGTGATTTCAAAAATTTCTGCGGCTTTCAGCATTTCATAAGAGTTTGCTGTGTATTGCGTGTATAGTTCTTATTTATTTTTAATTTTTTGTTTCTAACAAAGGGGGGCATTTGAGTGAATTTCCATTTTGTGTTGGGTTCGTCTCGCTTGGTTGTATGGGCATGAAATCACTCTTCCAGACCTTCATGCCCGAGCTATTTTTGTGCCAGGAACTCGATTGTTGTTTGCCAGACTGACTTTTTCCTTTCTTCGCTTTCTCCGTAATATGTGACGTCGAATTTCTGCGGAATTTTCTGCAGCAGCAGCAGCAGCAGGTGGAATCAAGCTTTTGGGGAATTTGATTCAGATTCTCAGGAATTAAAAAAAAAAAAAATTACTCGTCCCTTCCTTCCTTTGAACTGATGGCGCATACTTGAAAATAATGTGTTCGTGCCAATGTTGCCACCTTTTTTTTGTGTGCCAATTTTCGAGAATCAGGAATCGATTATTTCCCTTTACACAATATTTGAATGCTGACGTATGATACTTCAAAATTGTCATTTTCCCAAACTCACCTCAAAATGTGAAGATTATGTGAAAAGTATCACTGTGGAACGTTTTTCAAATTAAAAAATGCTCACTTTCTTGTATAATTCCATACAAATAAAAATACTTTCATATATTGCTTTAATAATTGAATTGAGGCATATTTTATCTTGGAAATGAATTTGAGTACAGAACAGTTGAGCTTTACCTTTTTGGGGCATATATGCACACTAACAAAAAAAAAAGAAAAATGTTAAATTCCTGGGCTTGATTATATCGTCTTCTGTACTTCCTTAAAGTAATTATTAAAAGAAACCTGACCCAATTCTGCGTTGGCATACTTTTTCGGTTGGTTTTTTTTTTTAGTAGATTTCGTTCGTTTCAAGTATGCTGCAATTGCAGTGTATGTGTCCTTGAATTTTGAGAGCTCTTGTCTCAGACAACACTCTGTTTCTTCTTTTACCAATAACTAAAACAGACAATTTAAAGGCATAGCTGCTGGACACCATTTAGAAAATTATTTTTCGATATATTTTACAGAGGAAAGAAAAGTTCACAACAATAAATTTTCACAATATTTTCGCGAGGTAAATTGCGCTTTGCATAATAAGCTTCCTTCATGAAAAGTAAGCTTCCTTTACTAGGAATGAATCGGGTTCGTTAATCACATTGTATATCGAATAAGCAGAATATTTTGGAATAATTTTCAATTCATGCAATAAATGCAAAAAATAAAATGTTGCAATTTTTGTACAGAACTTTTAGAATCATCATCTCTGTCGTAATTCAATCCCAGAATATTCAAAAACAAATGGTTACAAAAATGCACCTTTAAAAATAAAATCAAGAGACCAGCTCCTTTCATATTATTGTATGGCTTTGTGATGTGCACAGGTGCAGTGGTGCTGGTGACCGTATTAAGCATGGCGTACACAGTGGATGGACAGTGGCGCCGAAGTGCAGCAGGCGACATCGTGTGTGACTTGCAGAAACTAAACCGGTGCGTAGAAATGGGCGAACGGATGCTCCAGGATCCCCGGTATGTGTTTCCAGACAGCGACAGCGACGTTCGTGACGTCTGCCAGTGAGTTTCTTTCGCAACTTCTCCGAAAGTCTCATTTTTGAATATACAGTAAATTTCCTTTACAATGAATAATCTTATTGCTGCGCCAAACTTTTTCGTTACAACGATTTTTTCCTGGTTTTTCCTGATGGAAGTTTCTTCATATGAGTCATGCTATAAAAAAAAAACATTTTTCCTCAGTATGACTCAGAATGACGAAATTTGTTTTGTCTTGTTTATGTGTGCATGGGCCATCAATTTTTTTCACCAATTGGCACAAGATAAGAAAACCCAACTTGATGTGCATGGCTCAAAAACCATAAAACATATAAATGCAAATCATGTTTGCACATAGAATTTAGGATTTCAAGAAGGAAGAGAAGCTGAAATCAAACATCATTTGNTATTGGGTGGGGTTCAAAATCCGGAGTTTCCCTGTCACGCCCTTTTCTCATTTCTATTTTTTTCTGACCGAAAAAATGTCGCATATAATTTCACGATACCCGTGACATGATGATGAAGAATATCAAGAAGTTTGAATTCAAATCTGTTTTTATGAAAGTCTAAGCGAGCCTTTCAGCTGGAAAAATTGCATATTATGTGGGGGGAAAAAGGAATGTTTTCAAAACTTTGTGGAAATTCACTAAAATATATGGCATTACAGTGTAGTGCCCCAACATATGGAAGATTCGACTTAAGGACACAATTAAAATAATCTGCCTCGGCATTCGGACCATTTCTTGAGACATGAATAATATTTCAAGACAAGTAGAAAAATTGTATCGATCAAAATTTTAAATCTTTTTGTGCTGCATTTTCACGAACATTCAAAAGAAGTGCTATCATAAAGTCACAATAATTTATAATCAACGCAGGATAACTTTTTGCTTCTCTTTTTAGAGCTTTTTCCGTCATCTGAAGACAGTATAAGAATAGTTCTGCTTGTTATTCCTTTTTTTCCGTTTCTTGAGTAAGTTGAATTTTAATTTTCGGGGACGTTTTCCTAATTTTTGATCAAAAATTTGACAGAACCAATTAAATATATACTTTCATTGATATTTAATGGGGAAAGTGATCCGACATGCGGACATTTCGGCATAGAATGACGTCCAAACACCTGCAATTACGTCTGCATCTCGGGGCCCCACTGAATAAATCTTGATGTAAAAAAAAGGTTTTGAATCGGTGAGTCAAGTCATTTTCTTCTATACAGTTGACCAACACGAATTTCCCAAGGCTTGAGGAGACTGAAATTATCCAGAAATCAAAGCATGAATGACATAATGGACTCATTTTTGTGTCGTGTTTTTGACGCGATCAGCGAGCGAAAAGCGTGATTTCAAAAATTTCTGCGGCTTTCAGCATTTCATAAGAGTTTGCTTTGTATTGCGTGCTGTAGTTCTTCTTTATTTTTATTTTTTTTTTCTAACAAAGGGGGGCATTTGAGGGAATTTCCATTTTGTGTTGGGTTCGTCTCGCTTGGTTGTATGGGCATGAAATCACTCTTCCAGACCTTCATGCCCGAGCTATTTTTGTGCCAGGAACTCGATTGTTGTTTGCCAGACTGACTTTTTCCTTTCTTCGCTTTCTCCGTAATATGTGACGTCGAATTTCTGCGGAATTTTCTGCAGCAGCAGCAGCAGCAGGTGGAATCAAGTTTTTGGGGAATTTGATTCAGATTCTCAGGAATAAAAAAAAAAAAAAAAAAAAATACTCGTCCCTTCCTTCCTTTGAACTGATGGCGCATACTTGAAAATAATGTGTTCGTGCCAATGTTGCCACCTTTTTTTTGTGTGCCGATTTTCGAGAATCAGGAATCGATTTCCCTTCACACACAATTTGGATGCTGACATATGATACTTGAAATTGTGTCCTTGAATTTTGAGAGCTCTTGTCTCAGCAGACAACACTCTACTCTGTTTCTGTTTTTACCAATAACTAACACAGACGACGATTTAAAAACATTGCCGCTAGACACCATTAAAAAATTTCCATTTATTTTACAGAGGAAAAAAAAAGCTCACAAAAATGAATTTTCACAATATTTTCGCGAGGTAAATTCCGCTTTGCATAATAAACTTCCTTCATGACAAATAAGCTTCCTTTATTAAGAATGAATCGGGTTCGTTAATCACATTGTATATCGAATAAGCAGAATATTTTGGAATAATTTTCAATTCATGCAATAAATGCAAAAAATAAAATGTTCAAATTTTTGTACAGAACTTTTAGAATCATCATCTCCGTCGTAATTCCATCCCAGAATATTCAAAAACAAATGGTTACAAAAATGCACCTTTAAAAATAAAATCAAGAGACCAGCTCCTTTCATATTATTGTATGGCTTTGTGATGTGCACAGGTGCAGTGGTGCTGGTGACCGTATTAAGCATGGCGTACACAGTGGATGGACAGTGGCGCCGAAGTGCAGCAGGCGACATCGTGTGTGACTTGCAGAAACTAAACCGGTGCGTAGAAATGGGCGAACGGATGCTCCAGGATCCCCGGTATGTGTTTCCAGACAGCGACAGCGACGTTCGTGACGTCTGCCAGTGAGTTTCTTTCGCAACTTCTCCGAAAGTCTCATTTTTGAATATACAGTAAATTTCCTTTACAATGAATAATCTTATTGCTGCGCCAAACTTTTTCGTTACAACGATTTTTTCCTGGTTTTTCCTGATGGAAGTTTCTTCATATGAGTCATGCTATAAAAAAAAAACATTTTTCCTCAGTATGACTCAGAATGACGAAATTTGTTTTGTCTTGTTTATGTGTGCATGGGCCATCAATTTTTTTCACCAATTGGCACAAGATAAGAAAACCCAACTTGATGTGCATGGCTCAAAAACCATAAAACATATAAATGCAAATCATGTTTGCACATAGAATTTAGGATTTCAAGAAGGAAGAGAAGCTGAAATCAAACATCATTTGGTATTATTTTAGCATTTGGAAATGGCCTTTTTTTTAAAGAAAAGTATATGTTTGGAAGGATATTGCTCTATTTCAGGGAACATGCAGTTCTGGATGAAAAAAAATGCAATTCTCACAGTAAATTACTTTTTCTTTCTGGTCATACTTATAGGTCATATAATTTAGGAAAATTGAAGACCAAGTCTGAAATAAGAGTATACTGTTTTGTATTTTCAATTTTTTGAAATTCCTCCTTGATTTCATCAAAAGAAGTTATAAATGGAGGCAATTTTCCACATTATATCTCTTGTGGAAGTACTTTAGAGCGTCAATCACTTTTTCTCCAGAATATTTGAGTCCTACATGCTCAAAAAACCAGCATGAATGTCGTTATAACGAATTTTTTCCGAGGTCCCTGCTGAGAGCTTATATTTGTAACAAGATTTTATCGTTGACTCCATTCCGAAAGAATGGAAGAAAAGAAATTCTCAGTTCAGCAAACTTACAGTGCAGATGCTTCATATTTTTTTCTTCGGGACTCCAGGAATATCTCAGAAAACTTCTGTTCTCTCGATATTTTTGCAAAAAATAGAAGAGAAGCACGCGCGGCGGAACAGAGTCAATCCGAACTGCGCAAAAAAAAAAAAAAAGAAGCAGATGAGGGTACATCGCCATTTTTTCTTTATGCTCATCGTGTTCAGGGAATGGGAAAATATAACCATGTGTATGGAAGAAGCCATGCGAACGTGTGTCAAGTTTCCGGATAATGAGAAGCAGCTGTTCAACAACAACGTGGGAAAGTCCATCATTTACGTCAGCGAAATCTGCACCAAAGAGCAGGAAAAGCTGGGTTTGTTTCGATTTCATTCCGATTATATGACTTAGTGTGGTTCGTGAAAAGGATTTACTCAAATTTGGGAATTTTTAGAGTTGGAACCACTTTGGATAATACTACGTTGAATGATTTTTTTGCTTGCATATTTTCGCATTTTATTGGCATTATTTGCAGCGAAGAAAAGTCCGCCGAGATAAACCTGGAAGCTGCCGTAGATCTTTCCGCTAATTTTTTTCTCGCAAGAAATATATGTGCTAGTATTTTTCTTCGGATTGATAATTTAGATATCCTTGCAAAAATTTTCAGGATTTCCTGCGATTACTTTTCTGAAGCACGCTTATTTTGTGCGTTTAGCAGTGACTCAAACATCCTGTCAAATTTAAATCTCAATCATTCATTTTAAAAATTTTCAATGAGGAATAGACGAATATGAAGATAAAATTGCGAAGAATTTATAATTTTTTTTATCAAGACAAATGTAACATTCTTTATCCGGTTCGTTTATTATTTTTGTCAGATTTGTGTCATTTTTGTTTGTACTTGCAGAATATTTACAGCATGCGCCGTGTCTCAAGGAAATGACACGAAATGATTTCGACTACTGCGGGTCTTATTACGGAAAACTGCTTTCTGTGACCAGAGACTTTAAAAATGGGATCGAAAAAGACGAAGAATTATGTTGGTATGTTGAGATTACAACTTGCTTCGAAGATTATACCTGTTATTTCTGCTTGAGCTTTGACAATCTGATGGACATCGACGATTGCCGATTATCTCTTCTTTCCACAGCGGAATGAACTTATACAAGGAATGCATGTTGGGGAAGTTCAACAAATGCCAGAGGGCCATGCTGAAAGTGTTTGGAGAAGATTCCTTCAAGAGAGGCAAGGAATATGTTTCTGGATTGCTGGACAACGCCTTGAATGCCCAAAGTCAACACTGTTCCTCATTGAACTACGTGTATGTTTCAATTGTATTTAGTTTATTCATGATTTTCTCACCAAATTTACTGAATCAAACGTAGGAATGAAATCTGTCATCCTCATCTGAAATTTTGGAAAGACAATGGCTATATTCAAATTATCTGATGAAAAAATAAAAAGTTGACAAATGTTCACCTGCTGATATAAATTTCTTTCTTTCTGAGAAACCCTTCTTCACGTCTTCCTTTCTAATTTTTAAAGATATTCCACTATACCTATTTTTTTGAATTTTGCAAGAAGCAGAACATTTTCAAGTGCCTGCCATAATTTCTTTCAAGGAACCACATTCTAAGTCTGCAAATAAAAAACTTTGCCAGTCCTTGGGCCAAAAAAAGGACGAGGAACACTGACAAATATTTAGAGAGAGTCCTCATCCTTCCTGAGTAATACTGTATCTTGAATGAATGAACAGAACGCTTTATTTTCCGCTTTTCAGCGTTCACAAAGTCCAATCAACATTACCACAGCATCCAAACCCCCTCCCCACACAACCCAAATCCATTCAAATGCATTGAATCACTTCAGAATGGGAAACAGAGAAGAAAAAGCTGTATTTGGATACCAAAATAAAAGAAAATACATTCCACAGTATTTATGTAATTACCCCGTGGACAGCAGAGGGTTCTTTTTCAGTGCGCAGCAGAGTCGGGATTTTTCCAGGGGTGGTGCATTTCAGTTTGACCCAAGGTTACTGAAATGCGCATTTCATTTTGACCCAAGGTTACTGAAATGCGCCCAGGTTGAGGAGGGAAAAATCCAGGAGGCAAATTTTCTTTTGTTTCCAAGATTTTCCCATGCAAATCCTATACCAGGAATGCAGGAAAAAATGCTACCCAGCCAGGAATTTGTAAAAATTTTCTGCGTGATTAGATGGAAATCTTGCACTTTTTCCCAACTTAGCCCTTGGTAAAAAAAATAATTTTTTTTTAAATTCCCAGTGCCCAGTGGCACAAAATTCTGCAAAAATATCCCAACTTTGCTGCACAAGGGTTAATATCTTGCTAGTCACGGCAATCATCATTATTCTATTTTACAGGATGAGCTCATACAACTGTCCTCAAATGGACAAGCTGATGGACGAGAACAGGCGTGAACAATCCCTTTTGGACCTGGACTCCAGAAACTACGAACCCGCTTCATCTCGGTCCAATAATAACCCGAACGCCTGGGGCAGTGAAGAGCGTCGCGGTGGGCGAATTGACAAGCCAGCGTTGCCCAGCAGCAGCAGCAGCAACGCGGGCCCCAAAGACCCCTTCGTTGCCCTCAACACTGGCAACACTGACAGTGCTGCTGACATCAGTGGAAGCAGCAGCAACAGCAAGAGTAAGAAACCCAGCATCATTGAACCTCCGGGTCGAGGTCCTCTGAGGGACAGAGTGGCTCCAGGGACAGACGGGTTCAGCAGAGAAGACAAACGGGAGCGCGGAGGAAGAATCAATGATGAACTTGGGTGATTAGTTTTTTTTTTTTTTTACAAATTTCTTTCATTGTTTCTTTTTCCCTCCATCTTCTAGAAACTTGCACTAAATTCTTCCAACACAGATATTTCAAATGGCGGGTATCAGAATTGACTAAAGAAGTAAGAAAAAGTCTCAACAAAACTCAAATATGGGAAAAGAATCAGTAAAAATAAAAGTTATCCTTAGGGACAGTGTCAAGGAATTTTTAGCAAATTGTTTGTCAATGGATACAGAAAGACAAAAAACACAGACTAATGTTGAAAATCCTTCAATTTCTTTAAATCCTTATTATGTTCAGAAAAGTTCTTAAGTTGAAACAGCAGCAGTTTTTGCACAAAAAAAAGCTGCAGATGAACATTTCAGGAATCACAAATTGTCTGCTTCTGCATGGGGGCCTCAAAATGTTGGGTAAATGAGTTGGCAGCACACCAGACTTCAAATGAATGGGAAATAAACCAAATTAGTCTCTCACTTTATCATGGAAAATTCCCAAGTACAAATTATTTGCTGTTGATATTATTTGACACCCAAAATAGTGCCAAATTTTTACAGCCCAAAGGCCTCAGGAAATTCTTGCTATGGAGGTTCAAAGATGCATGGATTGCATTTTAATTTAAAATTATACTTTCAGATATTAAACTGTTCCTAACCCTGTAATTAATGACAGAAGATTAAAATTCAGCCAGAGAGGAGTAAAAAAAATCCAAGATTTTTTGGGAGTACCAAACCCTTTTCTTTATTAAATCTTCGAATGTCAATTTTGCTGCTGGAATGCAGAAAAATGTCCACCAATAATGATGCAAAGTTTCCAAAGCTTTCTACAAAAAATCATTTTTACAAGAAAGAAAAACCGAGGCGTCTTCTGCAATTTGTTTATGCTGATTAGTTCAAATATGTTCACATATATCTGCGTTCTTGAGCACCCACATTTTTGCAGAAAAAAAAGTTTTGGTTTTGCTGGGGAAAGTTAATCGGGTTTAAACAAGGTATAAAACATAAATTTGACTTGGAGATGATCAAGAGGTTCGAGTTCAATAAGCAAGGTTCAACTTTTATTCATTTTTAATTTTTTGCAGGCCCTCAGAAGCTGGCAGTTATTTTGGCAGACCGCCGCCACAAGGGGGCTCCATAGGAGACCAAGACACAATGGACGCCGAATCACCGACGACGCGTCGTGACGAAGACGCCGCCGTGGCGCCCACCGGCGCCTACTTTGGCTCTCGCACCAACCAAGCCGGCTTCCTTGCTTTCAATGGAAAGAACAGGACCCGAACCCCGGCCCCTGACCCATGGAACAACCCCAGGACAGAGAATCCTGACATCAAAGCCCAGGGCCTTTCCCCAGCTCCAGTGCAGTGACGCGGTAACAGTTTGTCGTAAAACGAGCCTAAATAAGAGCGGCAGTGAGAACAATAACACCTAAAGGCGACTAATAATGCGAAATAACAAATGCACACAAAAAAAAAATCCTCTTCCCAGTATTCTTCCTGGTTGAATGTTGTGTACATGAAAAAAATCCCCGAGAGCTTCTTTCAAAATTCAAGAAATAATTTAAATATTCCTTATATTGCCAAGTTATCAAGTGGTCTTCATTGGGTTATACCGTAATATATCAAGTCGCTGATAAGCATCATTTCAGGGGCAGGTGTTTCCAGAAACACGGAACCAATACCTGAATAATTATTTTCGAAAAGATTAACATAAAATAACTGCAACAAATGTTCCTACAACTTCAGACAGTTCACAATAATGGATGGTTCCCTAAACCGTGAATTCAACTTGAAAACAGAGGCAAGAGCATTTTTGGACGAAATTAAACAGCAATTTTCCAAAATTCGACTATCATCACTTTTTATATAGTTAAAATTATAGAAAATAAGAACAAAAATGTGACTTTATTAAGTCTAGAAATATTTTTGCGGAATCTAACTTCTTAGTTCACAGGGGCTTTTTATAGTAATTTTAGTTTTCCTCTATATTATGCCATGAATAAAAACACAGCAAACCCAGGCTTTTTGAAAAAATCCAGGTATTTGTAGAAGAATAAAATCATCGCGTCAGAAGCTTTAGGAATTTGAGTAGAAAATCGATAATATTTTTGAAGATTAAAATGTACAGAATGTTTCAAACTCTCGTCAAATTTCGTCTCCCCATTTCAATGGCCAGAATGATGAATAAGATGCGAAAGTGGGGGATGGAAGCGAAATTTTTCATTGTTGTAAAACTGCTGTAAATACCAAATGTTTTTGAGAGGAGAGTTGTGCGTGATTTTTTGTGGTCAGCGGAAAATTGTGCTTGTTTTCACACTGAAAAAAAAACTGACTGCTTCTGAACTGCTGAAAAAGGAACGAGGAATTAATTTTTTCCTCTTTACGTATCTGTGCATTTATATCTTATGTAATGTAGAGCCAAAAAGAAAATTGAACAGCAGGAATTATTTCAGCGAGGTTCAGAGTGGCGCTAGTCAACAAAGACTCGCTTTCGTGTCGGCAAACAAAATTGCCACAGGGGATTTTTCTGACAAAAAAAAAAGATTAAATCATCGCGACACATTCCGTCCTTCTGAAAAAAAAAACAATTAAATCTGTGCATGAGAAAAGGAGACCTTGAACGACCGAAATATATTTTGTCTCTCTTTAAAAAAAAAAGAAAGAAGAAAAGCCTGATTTTTCTTTTCTCCACAATTTCAAACTGCATTTATTCTACCACCGCTGGGGGAAAATGATGATGATGATATCCCGGATTGCGAAGCAACAGTAAAAAGGAATATTCCCTCGAGTCAGAACAAGAGTCCCCAAAAAAAAAAGCAATTAGTTTGCAAAATATTCCATCAAATTCCCGGAGTTGATAAGCGAACATTTTTGATAGCAGCCAATTGAAGGGCAGCAAGGTGACTTTCTCTTGTTCAACAACTTTATCCTTTGTTGAATCGCCCGACAAGTCTTTTTTAAGCTCTTGAGTTTGAAAGCAACTATTTGACAAGACAGGATGTATTTTATGCGAATTTCATAATTCCAGGGCACCTCGGAATCGCTCCTCCGCAAGGAAGTTTCGTCCTCGAAAGCTCAGTGCCGGAAATTGGCTCATTGCAAAAATCACAGGCCTGGGGAAAAAAAATGAAAAAGTTCATTAAATTGAGAACTTCCTTCAAATTACTTTGAGCAAAAATTCTGCGTATGAACTACCCTGGGCTAACTTTCGATGGTTTTTGTCTTATAGTCTCTTATATTCATCAGTCATGCGGAAATATCAGTTTAAAAATTAGTCAATTTATTTCTGGAAAATCCTGTAAAAGTAAATTAATTTTTGCATCACAATTATGCATGCATACCATTTCAGATTGGCGGTTCACCAAATTCAGCCCGGTTTCTTCCCAAACTTCGGTCAGATCCCTGACAAATTCGTCAATCATCGACTTGGAATGAAAAGGCGTCGGGGCAATGCGCAGTTTTTCGTGTCCTCTTGGCACAGTCGGGTAATTAATTGACTGGATGTAATGACCTTTCCTCTTAATCAACTGGTCAGACACTTCTGAGCATTTCTTCGGGTCTCCAACCTTTAAAAAAATATAAACATAAAAGATCAGTCATGGAATGAATCCACTGACAAGAAACCCAAGTGTCTTGAAATGCTGTCACACATGATGCAAATTGCATTATCCATATTATAATTTGGCCACATTGACCATGTCAATGACGAGTTATTGTGTTTAGGGTAGATGTCGCAGCTAATTAAAAAAATTTCAAATTGTTATCTCCAATAAACTGTCAACCTTGTTCAACCTTTTGCAGCTCAGTAGGAATATATCTGGGAAATTGTGTGCCAAAGAGAAACGAAATGAAAATAATCTGAACTTATGAAATGAGAACCAAGCCCTGAGTTTGGAAAATGCCATAATTTTTTTTGGCCAAAGAAAAGTTCACTGAGTGGCATATTTTCCTGCATTCAGAATGTAGGATTGCCATTAAAAATTTTTGAAAAC